CCGAGCCCACCGGCCGCGGTGGCTTTGCGGTGCACCGACGTCCCCTCGCCGCTCACCGGGCTGTAGCCGTGCTGGGGCAGGGGGATCTGCGCTCCCCCCGGGGGCTGGGTTGGGCTTGACGGGTGCGGGTGCGCCCCTCGCCCGGCAGAGCTCCGGGAACGTCTCTCCTGTCCCTCCCTTTCCCCCCCTGAAGACTCTACGAGATGCGTGGCATCGGTCTCCCATCAATGATTGAAGTGTGCATGCCAGAGCTGGGCTGGTATTTCAGGTCAGGTCGCCACGGCTATTTGGGGTAGGCAGCCCCTCATCGCCTCTGCTGCATGTGGGGTCAAACCCTTCTGCCATATGCTTGGGAACGCCAGTCTTGAAGATTGTAGCCAGTGGTTGCGTGTAATTATAGGTAAAAGCGATCAAAGGTAAATCCAAATCCATAGTCAGTTGGGGTAATTATGGCTATGCCTCTGGAGCACGAGAGTGTTTGGGAGTCATAAAAAAGGTAAATGTTTACATGTTTTCTTGCCTAGTTCCTGTATATAAGGTAAACTACTTTGGTCCCCCATGCGTGCACATGTGAGAAGCTGATTCTCATTTAGTAGAGTTTTTAGTTGAAGGATAAAGGTTACAGTATAGGTGGCAATGTATTGCACTGCATGGAGTAGGATTTTTTTAGACAAATATGTAATCAAGCATGTCATGATCTTAGTATATTACTGGGGCAGTTTCATCATCATCCTCTTCCATCTACTGGTCAGTTGCCCAGAATAATGATGCAAAAAGTCTGCTGGAGAAACACTCTGGGTACTCTCATGGTTATTAATCATTAGATATAAGTTGATACTTAACTCTGATGATGTTTACAGTTACTGGGGTTTTCCATCTTGGGATCTCAGGGTACTTTGTGTGTATAATGTTTTGTATGTTTTCTTCATGTGACTACCTAAGGAGTTTAATTTCATTCACCAATTAGTTTTAAAATTTTTGCATTCATACCTTGCACTTGCTATCTCATCTCATGCCCCAGGCATATGCAAATAACGTCTTGCCACGGTTTGTATTTGGGGGCACCGAGCCGGGTCATTTCTGAATAACAGCAGGTAGTCTGTGTATCTATTTAATGACAAGATCATGTCAGTCACAGAAATTCTTTCAGAAAATGCCCTGTAAATGTAAGTTGCATGTAGAGAAATAAAAGTTTTAAGAAGCTTTCTGTATGCTACATCACTGAACAGCATTGTATGCTTAGTTCATCTGGGCACGGCATTTGTGTGCCAAACCCTGGGGTTTTGTCTGCTGCAACGGATCCCAGAACTGCAGACTGGATGTAGTCTGTGAAGTACCTGAAAAAAGCATCATACTCTGCTCTTTTAATGACTTAATGCATTTGATGAATTAAAAATACTTAAATTTCCAAGTCATTGAACTAAATCAGATATTTAGAATATAATTGTGGTGTTCTTGTCTCTTTTATGTTCAGTCTTATCAGCAGAGATTGTGAATTATGTTGATGGTAGCTTAGAAATTAGCATGCTCTTTTGCCTTGCAGGGCACCTCAGTAAACAGTTAGGAATGATTGGAAGTAGTGCTGTCTCTCAAAAAAACCTAGTGCTTTTTTATATAGTAGTGTTTTTTCACCTTGACTGCTTTTCAAACATGTAAAATAAATGTATCTACAAGGGTTTTCTTTAGTATTTGCTTGCCAAGACTTCTAATGCAAGGAAGAGGTGTACCTCATAACTACTGGTCCTTTTCTGAATCATGGACAGGAATTTATGCCTTGTCAGTTGGTTTAGTATTGGTGATTACAAGCAGAACATAATTCTATTTGCTGTCTTTTGCTGAGCATGGAATGTGTCCCATCTCTAGCTTTAATGCGTTGGTGACATCTACAGCTATTTAAGGGGAAGCACAGGAGGTTGAAAGAGATCTCCAAATACTTAGTTTGATGTTCGGTGAAGACATAGTCTTTCCTTTCTGCAGTGAACGAAAGCAGCTGAATTAGGAAAAATTATTACGCTACATTTCATTTACTTGAGTAGAGTATGTTAGTAGAGGACCTGTTACTGATATTCAGATATTAGTGTCATACATCTTGCTGTTCTAAGATGGTGTGTTAAAGGCCATTGTGAGGCAGACTACTAATGCTTCTTCTTTTTTCTTTTTTAGAAACCAAGTGCTTGAAATGTTTGATCATGCATATAGCAATTATATGGTAAGTAAAATACTTGTTTGTTTAATTTTTTCAGAGTTGTTATTGCTGACCTGGGAGAGAAAGCAACCTACAGTACATGACATTCTAGAGAAATAGCAGGGAGGCAGGGGTAAAAACAAAGCTAAAATAAATAAAAGCACCTGTATAGCCTTTAAAAAGAAATGAACAAGTGTTACTTTCAGGAAGAGCAGTGTCAGGAGGGTTGTGATGGCTTTCAGAATGGTAGCTAGGAATTGCTAGCGGTAACTCTGTTAATCTGTGCCTGATCTTTCTCAAACCAGTTTATCTCGCATCAAGCTATGAACAGTTTTCATCTTTGGTAAAGTATTTGGTTTGAAATTCCAGACTCCTAAAAATACTAGGAAAAGGAAGCTCAAGAAGAGCTGTCTCTAGTCATCAGAATCTGGAGAATACAAATTGATCTTACTTATTTTGTAGGTAAAAAGTATGTACAATATTTCTTCTGTGGTAAGATATGTTAGATGCAGTTTGGTAGCTCTTTTACAAACAAACAGTTTGTAAGAACAAAAAGGGGATCTGGTGTCATATCTACGCATTATAACCTCTTCTGAGTATGTAACGGTCATATGACAGTAAGCTACATTTGCTATGGTTTCTTTTAATATGACTTGTGATTTTCTGTGCAGGTGTCTTCATGTTCTGGATATGTGAGCCATTCTGCACTCTAATCAACCTTGAAATATGTTAGCTTAGTTTAGATATATTTAAGAATAAAGAATTACTTAAAGTGGACTGACTTTCCTCAAGTAATAATTACTTTCAAATATACTGTAAGTAATACACTTCTGAGGAGAAACCATAAGTGTGAATAAGATAAATATAAAAGATGCATTCTTACTGAGTTTACATTAACAACCTTTTTGTAAATTCTTTGTGGCTGTTGCAGAAACCCCTCTCTTCTATGTTGCACCAGTTCCTGCAGGACAAACTGCTGTCTCTTGACAGTATCTTGCCACATGTCCCAGTTTCTGTATTATGGTTTAACGCTTTAATATGTAATACAGGCTTAAAAGTTTGTGAGTTACAAGTTTATACAGTACATGAGAGTTATAGAATTAATGGATAGAAAGTCAAGCAAGAGTATTTTCAAAGTGGGTGTAGTTTTTCTTTTTAACATTAGCTCTTGCTTTTTGACACGTTAGTGGTTTAAGAGACATCAGGCTTTTTGGTGATAATTTATAACTTGTTACCTGGGACCTGGTTCCATGGCTTGGCTTGGGTTTCCTATGGCATTCTGAAGTAAAAACTTACGTATTTGGCAAAATTGCATAAAATGTTATATGCCAGTAGAAAGGATCTGTGCTCCTACTGTTCATTGTGTGATAAATTGGAAACTGGTAGGTGTCTTGCTACATCTGAAGCAAGAAAATTCTGGATGAAAGAGAAGAATGACTTCAGCTATCTGGAAACTTTGAAGCCAAAAGG